TTTGTATAGTAGAGAGACAGAGTTTCACGATATTTGGCCAGGCTGATCTTGAACTCCAGAACCTCAGGTGATCCAGCCTGCCTCGAAACTCCCAAAGTGCTGGGATGACAGGCATGAGCCAGCACGCCCAGCCAGATCATCATTTCTTATACATCATCATAACCATCCCCAGATTCTTCATCATTGCCAAATCTTCAGCAACTCTTTCCTCTGGATATATTCCACCTCTATTAGACTGCAGATTTCTTTTTGTCCGTGTTGATTTTTTTCTCCTATAACTCTAATTCTCTTGTGATTGGGAAGAGTCCCTTCCTCCTCAGTCACAGTTACAGGCTTAATATGTATGGAGCACTCCCTGTGTGTGAGACACTTGGAGCCCTACCTTAATCCTCAAGATCATCATACGGCTGATGGGGGTTCTATTTATTATTCTTGCTTTCTGCAGATGGGGAAACGGGCCAAAGAGGTAACTAACTGGTTGTCCTTGTTCTCATCAGCCAAGTGGTAAGCAGGGATTGAACCCAGAAGCCTGGCTTGAAAGTCATGCCTCTCAAAAGCCTTTTCCTGTTCCCTCTCTTTTTTTCTCTCAATTGGGTTTTTGTTACCAAATTGCCTGTCAGTTGTTTGTTGCCAAACCAGTTGACTGCATTCTTCTCTGTTTTCCATCTTTCTTAGTCTAGTTTTCATGTTATCGGCATAATTGGAGAACTCTGGTCTACTTTTTTTTTTTTTTCCAAGACAGCATCTGGCTCTGTCACTCAGGCCTGGAGTGCAGTGGCATGATCTTTGGCTCACTGCAACCTCCATCCCCCGGCCTCAAGCATCCTCCCATCCTCAGCCTCCTAAGTAGCTCCCATCTACTTTAGACATTAAGAGTAATATTCTACTGTGGCCTGGGTGACCCTGGGCAAGTCGTAGAGCCTTCGATGGACCTTGATCACCTCTCTTAAGGTGAGGGATGGGCTGGATGCAGGTCAGTGTCCTCGGGCTTTATTAAAACATCAATTGTTTGGCAGCACCCCCAACCTCGCCTGTGAATTTCCCATTTTACTGGGTCTTGGAGTGGTGCAAAAAACCTGCATTTCTAACAAGTGCCCACGTGCAGCTGCTGCAGTCACACTGGGGACCCGGGCTTTGAGACCCACTCTTGATGCTGCTGGTTCCTTTCCGGTTTGTGCCACGCTAAGGCTCTGTTCTTGTTGGAAGGAGTAGGGTCTTTTCTCACACCCTCCAGAAATCCTGGAGGGATCTTGCAGCATTGGTGGGCAGGGTAAAACCAGAAAACATCTTGCTTAATTGGGAGGGAAAGGGTGGTATGAAGTGACCCCTAAAACGAGGGGGGACCGGGGTTGGTGGG